CCCTGGATTGTTAGTCTCCCTGGGCTATGTACCTCCCTGTATCGTCTTTCTCCCTTCTGTGTGTGTGTGTGTGTGTGTGTGTGTGTGTGTGTGTGTTGTCTGTACTTAATAATAACAACACTCGGATGGAAGTGAGGTGAGGTAAGGGGTGAGGGGCAAGGGAAGGAGGCGAGGTAAGGGGTGAGGGGTAAGGGAAGGGGGTGAGGGGTGAGGGAGAGTAGTATAAGAAGCGAGGTAAGGGGTGAGGGGTAAGGGAAAGGGGTGAGGGAGAGTAGTATAGAAGCTCAATTGCTTACACGAACAATGAGACAAATCCAGATTCTTATATACTGACGTCATCAATGGCGTTTAGATTTTTAATTTGTTTATTTTTTGACGTCATCAGCGACATTTATCAGAACTTGACCTTCGTTATGGGAGAACTGTTTCGTTATAAAGGTTTCGTTCTTATTATTAGTTCGTAAGGAAGAAACATCAATTGTTATAACGCAAAAAGTCACTTGGATCACCCTGTTAAAGATTTCATTATTGCAGAAACATACACAACGCAGTGATCCGCCGGGCTGGGTGGAGTTCCTGAGGCCGTGTGCTGAGGCCCACGGGATTTACGTACGGGTTGGGTTAGGTTAGGTTTAGGTTAAATTAGCTTACCTTAAGTTATGTTATGACTAAGTTTAGGTTGGCTAGGTTAGGTTAGCTTAAGTTGTGGTTAGGCTAGGTTTGGTTAGCTTAGGTTAGGTTAACTTAGCTTAGGTTAGCTTAGTTTATGGCTAGGCTAGATTAAGTTAACTTAGGTTATGTTAGGTTAGCTTAAGTTTAGCTTTGACTAGGTTAGGTTAGTTTTGACTAGGTTAATTTAAGTCCAGGCCTAGTTAAACTGGATTAGATCAGGTAAGGTTAGGTTAGTTTTTGCTGGGTTAGGTTAGCTTAAGGCGTAGGTTAGGTTAATATTTCGCTAAACCAGGTGAGTTCAGATGAGGTGCTTTGAGGCCAGGTGAGGTGAGGCTGTGAGATCATACACACACGAGGCCAGAAACTCCCCCACAGCGGCGCCTCACATGCTAACAAGGACCATAGGATAATAAGTTGATGCAGGAAACAACAACGAACAACAGCAAACAACAACATCAACAACAATTTCTAAACACAAGCAGACGCCCTCACACACAAGAGAGCTTCAGGGTGATCGAAAAGTCCCTGTGCAGCTGTATTAATTAACGCTACATTCATTCCTCCTTATACCTGCAGGGTTATTTACTTTTTTCTTATAGTAAATAGTGGAATTGATGAACATTTTCCGGTATTTAGTGTGTATCATTACCTCCGTTTAGTTTAAGTAGTGTAAGGTATGTAATATTGGAGGTATTATGTGGAATAACTATAGTGTTGGATAGGGTTGGTGCACAGGGATTTTTCGATCACTATATTACTGCAGTTCAAGAGCGTCAATTTCTGATGATTATTCCACACGTAAACTCTTTTGAAAGGGTTATGTCAGGTATACAGAAGAGACGCGTGTGTGTGTGTATACGAGACACCTATTCGCTGCACAATAACACACACAGACACACACACACATACATACATACATAAACACACACACACACACACCTCACCCCAGTACACCTGACACGAGCCCCTAGACGTGTACCTGAGTTTTCAAAAGTATACATGATATATATTTATTTTTAGAACTTATATAGACCAGAAACTAATAACAAGACAATAGTGGATGAAATAATATGAATCGACTCCATATACGCTCAATTATTTCCTAATTGTCTATATATACAGGTAAAACTGCATTGGTTATTAGGGGACAGGTAAGGGCTGGGCTGGGCTTGTTGAGAATCCAGCAACGTTAAGTTATGAGTCAAAGTTAAGACGAGTTAAGGGTTTGTTAATTTATTTTAGGTTTAATAACTGATGTGTTTCTGAAGACTAGCCCAAACGGCGTCATTGTAGTAGATGTTGAAGGAATACCACGACTACCAGGGTAAACAGAGGCTACAGCGGTAAACAAAAATCTTATTCCAAAACTCAAACCACACGGATAAACTAAACCTAACCTAACCTAAATAAAACTACCCTAGGAATCTTTATTTAATTATTATTTTTCTAAAGTTTAGGTTAGGTTTTGTTTAAATCGTGTTTTATTTATTTTCTTCGTTAATAGTTAAGTACTGTGTAGCTCTTGCATCTCCCGCCGCCATCTTTGTTCGTGGTAATTTATTCTACATTGTGCGTGCGTGTTGGTGCTACGATGCAGCCTAGCAGTAAATTTCCTTGTTGACGAAAACTTATTATGTATACACGCCCTGTGTCCTTCACATCCTTATTAATACATCAAAATTTAGAATATTCATCAGTAAATTATAATCTCTGATGAGGAGCTGTGAGAGAAAACAATAACAAGAGCGGAGGATGGAAGTGGTGATTCGATTTTTGTTTTTGTTTTGGAGCTAAAAGTCAACACAGGTGAAGTGAAGGTTATCCGATTATATCGACGTATAATTTTGATTGTAGTTTAATAATTACCTGATATATAAGCCCATTACGCTACACTATCAACCACTAGTAGTATTTTAACACACACTCACACACATATATATATATATACGTGTGTGTGTGTGTGTGTGTGTGTGTGTGTGTGTGTGTGTGTGTGGGTAATAATAATAGAGTACTTACGGTAATTATAAATAGCAGGTTCTAAGTTTAGTCCAAGAAGGTGATATGTTTCTTAATATCACCAGTAAAGTGTGTTAGGGATCCCTCGTGCAGGTGAGGTGAGGTGAGGTGAGGTGAGAAGCTTCCTACTAAACACGCAGAGAAACTCCATCATCGCGTTTTTTTTAATACTAATTTATGAAGCGACGGCCATTAAAAAAACAATGTTGGAATTATCACCACGACTTTTATGTACACGCTTTAAACAAACACAAACAAATAATAACAACAAAATGGCAAAGCTACAGGCGTTAAAAGAATAATTTTAAAATATCACCACATCATTGGCATACACACCTAAAAAATAAAACAACTAAAAAAAAAACGAAGCACAATGTTGACTCATCACCACGACTTTATGTACATACCTAGAACAAATTACAAAAGTAAACAAACACTTATAATAAAAAAAAATCACAAACCGACAGTGATTTATGAAAATTAATTACACCCATAACGAGATTTACAGCGTAACAGACGGAATTCATAGTCACTACTCAAGCGGTGGATGAAGCGGTTGTTGTTGTGGCTGACTGACGGGTGAATGGGCGGGGTGGAGTGGGGGGAGGGGGTGTAGAGGGGGTGTCTAAACTTATTATACATCATTATATACTGTATAATATATAACATTAGTCTCCATCAATCTATAATATAATATACCAGTTGCTGTTTATTGTTATTCTTTTTTTAGTCTTAATTCAAGGCAGCGACTATTGTTTAACTATAAAAAATGACGGGAAAAAATAATTCCTTAAGCTTTATTTTTATTTTGAGAAAGATGCAACTTTCTTTTTACTTATTTATTGATTCTCTCGAGTGCACGGTAATAAATAATAATGATTAATGACAATAAAAAGCAGCGTTAAGCAGCTAGCTATCTACGGTGCTAAAACAGTCAAGCGAGTGTCTGAATGTGATTTCTCAATATGGCGTATAATAACAACATCCGACCACAAGACACAAAGTTATAAAAGTACGACGAACAGGAAATGTGATTCATTTCTTATATATTTTTTTTTTACTCTAGACGAGACTTGAATTACGTTCCTAGGGTAGTTTGTGGTTATAGTATTAATGTTTGTTATGGTTAGGTTGTCTCGTTCGTTTGAAATAATTGAGAATGAATAAATTACTGAGTAACGCGGTTCTGTTCGTTGTACTTTTCCAACTTTGTACTTTATCCTCTTGTGGCGATCACACAGTTTTAAGCCGTGGTTAGTCTTCACCTCATCTACTACGTTAAGCTTCTTATGGGGGACCCTGATGCGATTTATTATTCATTCATTTTATATTTTTTATTTTTTACTGTTTTTGCAGCAGTAGGTTTGCACATGAACAACACTGCGGCAACATTGTCACAATTTCACCGTCGTGGATCGCATTTGTGGTGACGTCACGAACATAAACAAACGTTTCCCGCGTAATTCGACCAATGGGAAGGCTGGCATATAGTACTCGCGGTGTTTGTTTACATTCGTGACGTGAAGACAAATTTAAACTTCAGTGAAATTTCGTCATCCATAAATGAAAAACTGTACAAGACGTTAAAATATTTGAGGCTTGATGACGTCTATAGTTATTGTTTACGGCACCTAGTCATAGCGACCTCAACCCCGGGCAGTACAGTACAGCACAGTATATACACTACATTAGACTAGGCTAAGCTGCGGTACAACAAACTCCATTTTAAGCTTAAAAAGGCAGTTCAGAAACTTGTCTTTCTCTGGTTATTTTAGACTTCAAAAAACCATAACTTTTTTTATAGATAATTTACAGTTAATCTAATAATATATTTTTGGGGCTTAACAAGCTAGAGGGCTTAAACACTAGAAAACAATTGAGTAATTTTGTTTATTGCATCAGCAATAATGGCTGATGTCAACACCGGCGCGGTGGTTAACTACATGCCCACAGCGGCACCGCAGGAAGATCACCACAACCTGCGGCAGAAGGCGGCAAACACAACCTGCGGTGATAGTCACACCAGGGTCAACAAACGTCCTTGTTATATCAAATAAGCCAATATGTATTTATTTATTTGTTTCCCGGATGGCGCGCGCGCGCGCGTGTTGTCCCCTACAAAGAAAGTGGAGCGAGTGTGGACATCATAATCATTAACACACAAAAGAATTACAGTACAATAACATTATTAACCTGACAACGATGGTAGACAAACTTGGCACACGGGGGTGGCACTTGAGAGCATAGTTTCCGCCTTCACCAACAACAACAACATGACTGGCTGACTGCTGGGGCGGAAACCCGTATATATGTATTATTATTATTATTATTATTATTATTATTATTATTATTATTATTATTATTATTATTATATATATCGTTTATCTTAGAGATGTTATTGATGAGAGATGAACCACAGTGTTCACTTAAGCTCCGGTTACTTCAAGATGTCTCTCTCTGTCTCTCTGTGTCTTGGAGATGTCGTCCTTCAAGTTTCATCTCAAGGAAGATCTCTTTAAGACGTTTGCAATTAGCGCCTCTGGGAAGGCCTTTATCAGAATTTGCAATGAGAGTCAAGACAGTTGCAATTAGCGCCGGCGGGAAGGTGCAGGAGTCTGACATTTGAAGTCCTTTATCAAACCTCTCCTTAACACACAACACACCGCCGTCGACGTCACCACGTTTCAGGGAAGTTGCAATGAATGTTTATGGCGATGTACAGTATACTCTTGCAACATTTGGCCTGTGTTATATTTACACCTGGCCAACGAAACCTCAAGACGTGTGGGATCCGCGCCAAGGAGAACAAGAAACATCTCAATAAATGACCATTATCAAAATGCACTATAAGACACATCACACCTCGTCCCATATTTCAGGATTAAATTTTTTTTATTTTTTGCAATTAACAATCTATGCGAACGTGTAATATTGCAACAATAGGACCTGTATCAAAATTTGCAATAAGACACAAGAAAGCGCTATCCCACACTGGTAAATTCGTTGTAAACATGTCACCATCATAAGAAGAGTTAGAATATTGATATGCAATGTTTTGATATGTCTGGCGTGGCGTCCCTCAAGGGGGGGTAGTCGTGTCCTCCTTAGGCAGAAGAGAATGCAAACAACTCTCTCTCCCTCACTGTCTCCCAAGTACAACATTATAATACAAACCAAGTCAATATAATAGTTTCTCACGATCATAATTCTTCCCTTTTTTTATCAATCTGCTTAAATTTTTTTCTTCCCCATTCAGTGTGTCCAATTAGGTGATGTGAACAGCGACGAGATATAAACTTTATCGAGGAGGTTATATCGTTGATCTGGTAATACTTTTTCTCCATATGGTATAAAATATTTCAGTAAAATATAATATCTATTTTTTATGAATTTGATTTGAGTTACAAGTTTGATCAATGTGTTTACTTGTCGGAAAGATGACGATAATAATTAGTTTGTTCTCAAGAGTTTTGTAAATTACTTCTTCATACGGCATAGAATTGTAAGTATTGTTGCCTCCTACAAGTGCATAATAAGTGCACTTATGACCCTTGTTCCAGGTATTTGTAGTGTGTTGAATATTCTGTTTAATTTGTGTAAGTAATAATGATACGTAAATACAGTGTGTCGTTCTGATTGGCCCAGTAAACACCAATGAAAACAGTAACTATTGTCTGTGCTATTTTCTTGTGATGTTGATTGGTCGGCAGACTTCTGGTGAACACCGATCAAAACAGCAAACATTACCCGTCTGATATATCGTGTGGGATGTGATTGGCTATCTCAGTGAACATCAATATGAGCAAATGTTGTCCGTCCATGTAAAATTTATTTAAATATCTGGTAAGGCGGGAGTCTTTAAGGCGAACTCCAATCAAAACAGTCGATATTACTTCTCCAAATTCTATCAAGATTCTAATAGGTCGATCGTCTTCAACTATCCACCAATCACGGCGAAGGTAAACAAAACAACTTTCCCGCCATATTTTTTAAAACCCACTTTTTCTTGTAAATACAATAACTACTAAAAGATTTTGTTTATATATTTCGATAATATTAATTTTTCGGTTTATTCGTAAAAGTTTTCGTTGAATATTATATTTTTTTATATTACGAAATACCAAGTGAGTTAGAGTGTGTTTTGGTCTTGTGTGGAACTATCTTCTTTTTTTAAGGTGTGGCGGAGAGTTTGTTGTTGGTAAAGTGTCCACACGCGCTCATGTTGTTGGTATTACCTGGGACGTGTAGGAGGGCCCCAGCCAGTGAGTGCGTGTGTGAGTGCGTCGTGTGTGAGTGCGTCGTGAATGTGTTTGGGACGCATAAACGTGTCTGTATTACCTTTCCACTACAGGATATCTAGTTGACTTACATATGTGTACACCTGAACCACATGTGTACTTGACCCACATGTGTACCTGACCCACATATGTGTACCTGAACCACATGTGTACCTGACCGACATGTGTGCCTAAACCCACATAAGTGTAACTGACCCACACATGTGTACCTGACCTCAATAAGTGAAAAGTACCACACCTGACACCTGCATATATGTAAATAATATCACATGTACACACCTGCTGTCAATCTTAATTACAACAGGTATGGTTACATATATGTGGTCCTGACTTGGGTTATATGAGTCATCCTATAGATATAAACTTACATAGTTATATATTGTTATAAAGCCAGGCATTGTTATTATATACCGTTAACGGGGGTGTTGTGCCGTTAACAGAAAGGACCGTTAGTATTTTTTTTTCTGTTTGGTGTAAATTAATTGAATAACCAATTTTTTGTAGGAATAAATTTTGTGTTCATTAAATTTCTTGTCTGGGAAAAAGTCATGATAATAAGTTTTTATGAATAAATTGCGTGTGAATGTTTTATTTTTTTCCTGTTTGGAAATAAATTAATTGTATGACCAAATATTTTATATAATTTCTTCTTGATTAATTCCACATTTATTTTAATTAATAACCTTAGAATAAATTTATCAACTTTAGTAACTATTCAGCTTATTCTTTCCTCTGGCTCAGAATAAATTATGTTTATTGTAATTTCCTATAAATTTCTCAACTATAAATGTCTTTTAAAGAAATTAATTTACTTGGTATAAAATGTCAATATATATAAATGTATTCTATAAATTCCTATATTGGTTTTATAAAGTTTCATTCTTTTCAAAATTCCGTAAAAAAGAAAAAAATTCTTGTCCTAAAATATCATTAAATTTCGATGTTATTGAAAGATTTATTTACCAGGACTAAAATATCTTCACAATTAAATGTTTTTCAAAGTAATTTATCTGGTCTTAAAATGTTCTTAAAAATCTAATAATAAACCTTAACAAATTCTTCAACTCAAATCCGTCAAATCTCAATTTTTGTTCCACTGAGAAATATTTTATTTTTATTTTTAAATTATTTTTTTGTTTATGATTCAATTCCTGTGTTTACTTGTGCTCGTCTGTTGTCCGCCTGCAGTCTTGGAGCGGCGGGCATCGGGGTGGTTGGTCTTGGGGCAGGTATCGGGTCGGCTGATATCGGGGCGGCGAGTATCGGGTCGGCTGATATCGGGGCGGTGGTGAGTCTTGGTCTAGGCTGCTGCAGTTCCGAATATTTTTCCTTTGTCTTCTCGTCTTTTTTCTTCCCTGGAGCGCCGGCGGGAGGAAGAGCAGAGGGGGGAGGAGACGACAAGGAGAAGGGTGAGGAGAAGGTAGGAAGAGGAGGTTTAGGAGGAAGAGGGGTAGAGGAGGAGGAGGAGGAGGAGGAGGAGGAGGAGATAGATTGAGGAAGTTTAGGAGGAAGAGGGGTAGAGGAGGAGGAGGAGGAGGAAGAGGAAGATAGAAGAGGGATAATCGAGGAAGATAAGGAAACGGAGGACTGAACAGGTGTAGTAGGAGGAGGAGGAGAAGAGAAGGAAGCGCAATACGGAGGACACTTATGAGAAGAAGAAGAAGGAAGAGGTAGAAGAAGAGGAGATGGCGAAGAAAAAGAAGAAGTGGAAGAGGAATTTGCCGATAAAGAGGACATAGAAGGAGTGGTAGACAGCCAAGGGGAAGAATAAAGATGGAAATTAATTAAAGAAGAGTCAATAACCAAAGAAGGATGAGAGAAAGGGAGACAAGAAGAGGAAGAAGAAGAAGTAGAAGAGGAAGAAGTGATAAGAGGGATAATGGAAGAGGTATTGAAGGGGATTAAAGCAGAAGACGTGACAAGAAATGATGAAAATCTAGATGACGAAGAAGAGGAAGAAGAAGAGGGAGAATAAGAAGAAATAGCGAAGGAAGTAGAAGAAGACGAAGAAGAAGAAGGAGGAGGAGAAGACATTGTTAAAGAAGATAGACGATTGAAAATAGACGATACAATAGAAGAAGAAGAGAAGAAAGAAGAGGAGGAGGAACCACCAATAACAGCAGGAATAGACGAAGAATAAGAAGAGGAGAAGGAGGAAGAAGAAGCATCAGCAACAGTTGAAGGCACGGAACAAGCAACAGAAGAAGAAGAGGAAGAGGAATAAGTCGATGATTCATGAGACACAGTTATTGAGGAAGATGGTCAGGTAAGTGTCAAATTCTCCAAGGAAAGAGAACGTCTTTTCAGCCATCTTGGTTTACTCTTTTTCCTACTTGGTATCTTCTTCTTCTCCTCTTCTCCTCTTCCTCTTTCTCCTCCATCCTCCTCTTCTACCCCTACCCCCCTATGGGCTTCCTCCGTCGGCCCCGTCAGGTTGTGGAGTAATTCGTGAACGGCGTGAGACAGTCGTGGTGTGTGAGGGTGGACGAGAGGTCGGAGCGCTCGACCCACCACGAAGGACGGGCGGAGGTTCGATCCCCGGGCTATGTGGCGCTGGTAGGAGATATCTGGGAGGCAAGCTTCAAGACAGCCTTCTGGTGCTCTGGGGGGAGAGAGATAGAGAGATAATGGTGAGTCTCTTGAGTTTTATGAGAGAGATAATGGTGAGTCTCTTGAGCTTTATGAGAGAGATAATGGTGAGTCTCTTGAGCTTTATGAGAGAGATAATGGTGAGTCTCTTGAGCTTTATGAGAGAGATAATGGTGAGTCTCTTGAGTTTTATAGGAGATAATGGTGAGTCTCCTGATTTTATGAGAGAGATAATGGTGAGTCTCTTGAGCTTTATGAGAGAGATAATGGTGAGGTCTCTTAAGCTTTATAAGAGAGATAATGGGTGAATCTCTTGAGTTTTTATAGAGAGAGAGGCCATGATAACAACAAGTAGGGTTATGATAGCCTAACCTAACCCTAGCTTCTACTTAAACCAATCAATAGTGCCACTATTAGTTTAATACTATGACACTGGCCAATCAGCATTAAGGACGTTGAAATTTTGACCAATCAGCATAAAGAGAAACTTATGTCCCAGTTCAGTTGACAGTCCACCTAATCTGGTCAGTCTATCCCAGCCTCTAAACCGCTAAAAAATATTGTACTAATAGCAGCACCATCGGACATTTGGACATGTCGATCAGAAGTCAATGTCATCAAATTTTAGACCAATCAGCGTAAAGATAGGGTTTAAATTCTCAAACGTTCGTAAATTGTATATATTAAGTCACCATAACAGAGCCTTCAGTAACAGCCCAAGCCAACCTAGTAACAGCCAAGCCTTCCTGTAGCCCAAAGACCTTCAGTAACATTCAGAATAACAGTAACCTATCGGAGCAACCAGCCCAGGACCTTGACAACCAGAGCCTTCAGTAACAACCCAGAGCTCAGTAACATCCCAGGCCTTCAGCCAACGCCCAGAGCCTTCAGCCAGCTGCAGAGCCTTCAGTAACAAACTTAAGAGCCTTCAGTAACAACCCAGAGCAACTAGTGCAATAGAGCCTTCAGTAACAGCCCAAACCTTCAATAACAGCCAGAGCCTTCAAAGTAACAAGAAACCTTCAGTAACAACCAGAGCCCCATTAACATTCAAACCTTGTTGGTAACAGCCAGAGCAATACAAAATATCGCTTGTTGAAGCAACCCTGATAACCAACCCAGACTGCTCGGTGATAACATTGGAGCCCTTCGGTAACATTGGGCCATTAACAATGAGGCAATAATGTATTGAGCCTTCAGTGGCCCAAATATACAATTGACCTTGGTAACAACTGAGCCTTCAGTAACAGCCAGAGCCTTCGGTAACAATTAAGGCCTCTGATAACAACCCGACCTTCAGTAACGACCCAGAGCAACTAGCGGTAACAACGAGGCAACTAATCTTCAATGAGGCGGCTGATGACATTGAGCCTTCAGTAACAACCCAAAACCTTCTGATGACAATTGAGCCTCGGTGACTTAATGGAGCAACTGATGTTTTGACCGGAGCCTTCGGTAACAACCGGAATGACTACAGTAACATTAGAGCCTCGGTAACAACAGACCTTCGGTAACAATTAGACCTTCGATATTGGAGCCTTCAAGTGTTGACGGAGCTATTCGGTAACAGCCAAGAACCAATCAGAATTGACTAACATTGACATTCAACATTGAGAATGACTGATATTGGAATAACAAGTATTAGAGGCAACTTCAGTAACAATAACTAATGGCAATAACAATGAAACCTTCAATGCTGTTAAATATTAAATAACAATGAGCCTTCAATAAACAACCCAAAACCTTCGGTAACAATGAGCAGCTTCAGTAACAACCAGAGCAGCTATTGCTGACCCCAGACATTCGTGTGACATTGACTATTCCAGTAACAATGGAGGCAACTAGTAACAATGATATTCAGTAACAACCCAGAATGATATTGGAATTATTATTCAACCATTAAGAGCCTTCATTTATAGCTCAGGGTTTCAGGCAACTTACCCCAAATAATTGTGTGAGGCGATTTGAGATTTGTTAAAGGGTATTAAGAAACTGAATTTACAGAGGATCTTTGAGGTTATTGAGAACGATTTTTATGATATTGAGAGAGAGAGAGAGAGAGGGCTGACTATAATTATTGATTTTATTTTATTGTTTTATTGTGTATTCATTTTATACCACGCTGGCCACACCACGGAATATAACTTCACACACACACACACCACAGCCACCAGCCCTGCTCCTTCTACGAATGGGCTCCGTTTTTATGTAATTGTGTTCTGTCTCTCGGCGACTACTGGGCATCAACAAGGAAATCAGAATTACAACATTAAACTCTCAATTGACTCCTCCCAGGAGTGTTGTGTATTACCCAGGGGGGTGTTGTTGGAGTTAACTTGTGGGCTAGTGGTAGAAGGAGTAGCTACGTTCTCCTCCTCCACCGTATTTATCTTTCTCCACCACTTATGTAATATCACTACCCTCTTTCAGTAACCCTCCACCGTACCTCCCCCAATGTCTCCTAAACTCTCCCACCACACTCACCATCACCTCTTCTCTCTGTCTCCCCTCTCACCTGCCTGCTCTCCACCACACTCCTGTCCTCTCCACCACCTCTCACCACCACATCTCCACCACCACCACTCTCCACCTACCTCTCCACCATCTCCTCTACCACACCCTCCCCACCACACTCTCACCACACACCAACCCTACAATAACTTCACTTTCCGGTTAAATTCCATCAACATAAACCTTGTAACAAAAAACTAATTTTACCTGAACTATTTAAGTAAGACCCTCAACTGCCATATAATTTAACTTTACCCTACTCTCATATGTAATTCTCAGCTCGTTGCGTGGGTTAGAGTTGGGTTGTGGGACAGTAATCGAGATTAAATTCGTTGGAGACCCAGATAAGTTAATTGGGTTGATTGGGTTGGGTTGGGTTAGGATTTAGAGTTAGCGTTAGGTTGGGTTAGATTCAGGATTTAACATTAGATTAGATTAGAGTTAAGTTAACATCTTTAATTAGCATTAGTTTAGGTGAGCTATGTTGGTATTGAGTTAGGTTGGCTTGTCATTTACATTTAGATTGGTTCACATTATTAGCATTGGTTAGGTAAGGTTAAAGCAACATTGGGTTAGATTAGTCACGTATCTTATTAGGATTTAAGTTGATTAAACTAACAAATGCGGTTTAGTTCTATAATTATGTTAGTATTACGTTAGATTAGGTTAGATTATGTTATCGTGTCGGAACAAAAAATAATTATTTGTGTTGTATAAACCTAATTTAACGGTGGTTACAATGAATTATAGACGTTATGATCTATTTGTTGTATTGTGTTCACTGCACTATTTTATATTTTTAATGTTGTGTGTGCTTTCATTCTCTCTCTCTCTCTCTCTCTCTCTCTCTCTCTCTCTCTCTCTCTCTCTCTCATATGATATCAATTAACACACAAGGTAACACAATATCACACTACTATATCTAATACTCAAGGCTTATATATTAAATCAACTCTTATTAAGCTATTTCATACATTCCTCTATACAGTTATATGTCTTTATAAGTTTATACCTGTTATATACTTCAGATTAAAATATATAGGTACTATACATTAACAATAGTTTGTTTCTTGGTTGTTTATGCATAATTATCTATATATAGCAAGTATGTGTGTGTGTGTAAAATGTGTGTGTAAGTGTGTGTGTGTGTGTGTGTGTGTAAGTGTGTGTGTGTGTGTGTGTGAAAATAATAAGGGGTGAGTCAGCATTCAGTTCTGTAATTTCAATTAGTTACTTCCACTCACTGTGTAACAACCGAACTGATATTTAGCCAGATATAATTCTGTTGTAGAGAGTTGGATGAGGATGTGTCTGGTTAGTAGTGGTGGTAGCTGGCGGCCGGCCATTCATAGCTCCTTGTTTATGATGTGGGAGGCAATCTTGCCAACGTCGGTATTAACGAGAGGTTATTAATATATCAAAAATCCTCTTGTGGGCATCTGTGTTTGGTGGGTGAGGTGAGGTGAGAGGTGAGGGAGAGGTGAGGTGAGGGAGAGGTGGGGGAGAGTGAGGAGGTGTGGGGGTGGGAGTGGGGTGAGGTGAGGTGAGGTGAGGTGAGGTGAGGTGGGGAGAGGTGAGGAGAGGTGGGGGAGGTGAGGAGGTGAGGTGAGGAGAGGTGAGGTGTGAGGTGAGGTGAGAGTGGGGGAGGAGGTGGGAGGTGAGGGAGGAGGTGGGGGAGGTGAGGAAGAGGTGAGGAGATTGAGGGAGGTGAGGGAGAGAGATTGAGGTGAGGAGAGGTGAGAGGAGGTGAGGGAGGGTGAGAAGAGGTGGGGAGGGTGAGGTGAGGTGAGGAAGAGAGGTGGGAGAGAGGTGGGGGAGGGTGGGGGGAGAGGTGGGGAGGGTGGGGGGGGGGTGGGGAGGTGGGGGAGAGAGGTGGGGAGAGAGTGGGAGGTTGGGGAACCAGTGAGAGGAGGTAGGTTAAGGTGGGTGGAGTGGTGGGGGAGGAGATGGGGTGAGGGGAGGAGAGATCAGGGGTGAGGGAGTAGAGAGATGGTGGGGGAGGAGATGGGGTGGGGGGGGGAGGTGGGGGAGGTGTGAGGGGGGAGAGTGGGAGGAGGTCCAGGAGAGAGGTGGGTGTGAAGGAGGTGGAAGGAGCCATGGCCTATTTGGCCTAAATCTAACCTAACACAAACAAGCTTCCAAAATAAAAACAAGCCAGGACTACTACAGCTTAGCCCTGCCTGCAACCCTGCCCAGCCCCTGCCTACCTGCCCCTACCCAGCAACCTTCCCCTACCTACCTACCCTACCCACCTACCTACACCCTCCTACCCCTACCTTAACCCCTCCCCCCCTGCCTACCCAGCTTCACCCCCTACCCCTTCCTTACCATGGCAAAACCTAAGATAACTAAACCAGATACATGTGTGCCTTGGTCTGTGACCTGGACTGTTGCCTTGACATGGAGCTGGACCCCAGGCGATAAAAATACTACCGACATGCATTACCGATAGCTGTAAGGGGTCACAGGTCATGGGATTACAAGTGTGGTAGTGTCCGTCTT